AAAGTGGTTGAAGTTTCAGTTTCACTGTTGAAGGGCTAAAGTTTGTGAGAAGAACTTTGTGCTTTCGGTGGTACAGCTGAGCTTCTATCTCAAAGAGACTGCAAAAAGAATTTTAGATGTAGAATGTAGGTGGGAAGGACCTAACACTATCTGTCCTTCCAGAAAGCTGATGTCCACTGTCAACTGAACTATTTCCAAGTGGTAGATCAAAGTGGGGACTAAACCAGTTTAAAAAATCCAGGTCACCTTTTCATTCCATCCTATCTGATGGTCTCTTCAGTACTTTTTTTAAAATTGTTGAATCTCTTTATATGTTTTCTTTAATTCTCTATTTCTTTGTTATGAAGTATGCAAATACCATTGAGTCTGTTTTCTGGTTTATTACTGAGACTGCCTTAGGGAGAAGAACTGGCACATAAAGAGTCATTGGCCTTAGCTGATGAGCCCAAGTCCTGAAGAAGTCAGGCTTTTATCCCAGCTGCTGGAACCTGGACTTGTAACATGGGTTTAAGGAAATTGCTTAGTCTGTCCATACGTCAATGGCACAGGTTTTGAAGGTAGCAGGGCTTCAGAGGTCACGTAGTCTAACATTTCCCAGCTGGTACCAGGACATGAAGGAGACCTAATGGGTATGTTTTGCCAATTCTCTGTCCCAAGTTCTGTAGCTAATTGCTCTCACAGTCCACAAGCATAAAACACAGTTTAGAGAATGTAAAAACCTATATGTGGATAATGAAAAGGCAATACAAGCCCAGTCTCTTGCCTTCTAAGTCTTCCAATTCAATACTTCCAGCAAAACGCTATTTTTTCACTAACTAGGGCTTAGTTTTCACTTCATTTATTTTTATTGTGAAAATACTATACAGAAGGGTTACAATTACATGGGCAAGATAATGAGTACATTTCTTATCAAGCATTGTAGCCTCCTCACTTGTCTCCCCTTCCCATCCCTTCCCATCCTCCCCCACCCCCCACCAAAGTTGTAAAGTTTGTTTTTGACATAAGGACTTGTACATCCCATTGTTGCAATGGGTCCACCTATATCCCTATTTAAACAATTTGTTTTTTTCCCTTCCCTTCCACAAAGTATACCGACTTCACTTCATTTTTTATCCTTGTTTTCAACCTTCCATTAGTCCCAGTGACTGATTTTTTTTCCTCCTGGACACATTTCTCTCTTCATTTCCAATTCCAACTACCACAAGATAACCCTTTTCTCATTGCACACAGAAACAACTAATTCCCTCCAACATTTACCCTTTCAAAGATTTATTTTGTTATTAATTCTCCTGGAATACTTTGGCTATGATGTATTTCTCAGGAATCTACTGGTAACTAATTATCTTGAATATCTCAAAAAAAAATAACCTCAAAACTTAAGTAATATATACCCAACAATATAAAATTTAAAAGGTACAAGAAAGAATTCAGATAAAAGTTTCTTAGCTCTCTCTTTGAAAAGAAACCATGACTAGTTTTTGTGTGAAAGTGCATTATTCTGAGCTATTCTGTGTATGCATGAGATCCATAAACTACATATGGTGATGCATACTTGTAATCTTAGCTGTTCAGGAAAAATAGGAGACTAGTGGTCTCAGGCTAGCCCAGGAAAACAGCCAACTATCCTATCCATAAGATAACTAAAACAAAAAGGGGCTCAGAAGTGGCTCAGGTGGTAGAGTGCCTGCCTTGTAAGAGGCCCTGAATGCAAACTCTAGTCCTAAAAAACAAACAAAGCAATGGAGGACCTAGAACTGCTGGGATTGTAAAATGGTATAAACATGGTCTTAGCAGCAAGGACTGCTGTAGATGGTTAGAACAAGAGCCTCAAGAGGTGCCTAGACATCACATGAGAGGAATAGAAGAATAACTAGGTCAGACCACCAAGAGCAAGTGAAAGAGAATTAAAACTAGGTACACATCTTGAAGGTTCCACTGTATATACCTATGTCTCAGCTCCAGTTTGAAGTAAAAGCACAAAGGTAAGCAAGAAAAATTGAGTCTGAAGTAGCAGAGGTCAAGGGTTCTCATCACCAGGTCATGGCTATACCTCTGACAATCTGCTATTATCTAACACTGAGCTACCCACAACAACCATCTCCCAAGCCTGTGTAAGAATTAGCAAATAACTAGCCAAAGTGAAGCATAAAAAGTATTACTAAAACATGCTCTAGGAGTTGCTTACCTTCCCCTTTCTTAACATTAAAGCAAAAGGGGCCTTGGCAATGTGCTAAAGAAAAACATGTGTGCTGTGACACGCACATCTATGTCCTCAGTCGAGAATGGGTAATCTCCAGTGATAATCCTTTTCAGCAGGCAGAAATGGGCTCTTACAACATAGACCCGGGGTGATATTTTCAACCTCCAAGGAACCATCAGGTATTCTTGCTTGTTGAAAAATGAAGCTATTTTGGTCTTTCTTTTCAGGCTAGCTGCCAACCAGGGACCTGGAGACATACAGGGTGCCATCTGCCATCCCCCAGCTGTTCCTGACCTGCCATCCGTCTCCAACCAAGAATGCCTGTTGTCTGCCAGGTCAACTAAGCAACCTGTGAAGGATGCTGGAGGCCAGGCTACAGCTGGATAAAGTGATAGCAGCACCCAGACTGCCATGCATCTCCACTTCTCTGTGTTAATGGGAGGCAGGCAGGCTGCTCTCCATGACAACATGGAGGACCGCACTGTGAAAACAACACCTTCCCAGGGAGCTTGGCAACCACGTCTTTTTATTGTAGGACAATTCAATATTCACCACACTTTTGCTGGAAACCAAAGGCCTACTTCAAAAACTGTTAAATTCTTTGTAAAGAACACGTTGTATATATTCATTGGAAATTTCTATCACTTATCCTTCAGAAAGACTGTTACTGTTATATTGCAGATTAAATGATCAATTCTGAAGACTGATGCTGACAGTAAGAGGAATGAGTTTAATAATATGCTTCTGTAAACTACTATGGCTCCCAAAATGATTCCAAAGTCAAAGTAAGCCTTTAAAAATGCAATCTGCAGGGGCTAGGAACGTAGCTCAGTGGTAGAGAGCTTGCCTTGCATGCCTGAGGCCCAGGGTTCGATTCCTTAGCACCACATAAGCAAAAAGAAAAAAAGCCGGAAGTGGTGCTGTGGCTCAAGTGGTAGAGCGCTAGCCTAGAGCTGAAGAGCTTAGGGACAGCGCCCAAGCCCAGAGTTCAGGCCCTACAACCGGACCCAAAAAAAAAAAAAAATATGCAATCTGCAGGCATTATCATGGAAGAGGACAGCAAAGGGAAAGGAGGAATCTGTAAGGCTTGAGTTTGCATTCCATTAGCACAGTAATCAACTACTAATCCAGGAACTGTTAAAGCTACTTAAAACTATAAACACTATGGCTTTTACCGAGGCACAATTTCCTAAGAATGTGTACTTTGGTCTCTTGAAAATGGAGTCAGCTCACCTCCAGCTCATTTGTCTGCATGTGGACAAGGCCTGGGGGAGCCGAGCTCATAACTAGGCTGCATGACCCAGGAACTATGTTCTCCACAAAGTCTAGAGGAAGAAGATGCCATCATAGAACTCTAGAGCTGAGGTGGTGCTACCCACAATCTCAAAATGCAGGAAGCTCATGAGCTTGAAGCTAGCCTGGGCTACCTTCTGAGACCTTGCTTAAAAATAAGTCTAACAAAAAGTTACCATAAAATAATATTGACGGGGCTGGGGATTTAGCTCAGTGGAAGAGCACTTGCCTGGCAAGTGAAAGGCCCTGGAGGCATAATGATAATGATAATAATAGTAACAACAACAACAACAATAATATTGACCCAAGACATTCTCCAAAGTAATTCTTTCTCTCTCTCCTCCTTCTCTCTCTCTTTGTGCCAGTACCAGGCTTAGGGTCTTGAGCTTGTGCTTGGCTTTTTAACTAAAAGCCTTGATATACGACTTTTTACTATTTAATTAGAGATGAGTCTCACTGACTTAGTGCCCAGGCTGGTTTTGAACTGCAATTTTCAGATCTCAGCCTCCTGAGTAGCTAGGATTACAGATGTGAGCCACCAGTGCCAGCTCCTAGAGGAATCTTTTGTAGAGAAAAGTCTTAGATGAAGCCGGGCGCCGGTGGCTCACGCCTGTAATCCTAGCTACTCAGGAGGCTGAGATCTGAGAATCGCGGTTCAAAGCCAGCCCGGGCAGAAAAGACCGTGAGACTCCTATCTCCAATAAACCACTAGAAAACCGGAAGTGGCGCTGTAGCTCAAGTGGTAGAGCGCTCGCCTTGAGCTGAAGAGCTGAGGGACAGCGCCCAGGCCCAGAGTTCAAGCCCCATGACCGACAAAAAAAAAAAAAAAAAAAGAAAAGTCTTAGATGATAGTCAAAGAGAAACAGCAACAACCCATAGATTACAGGCACTATGACAGTTCCTTTGCTTTTGTACTTGACCCCTGATCCCTGATACTCTACACTACAAGAGCAATTTCTTTTTTTTTTTTTTCTTTTTGCTTATGTGGTGCTGGGGAATTGAACCCAGGGCCTCATGCATGCAAGGCAAGTGCTCTACCATTGAGCCACCTTCCCAGCCCAAGAGCAATTTCTATTAGAAGTATCAAGGTATAACCTCATGTAAAAGTGTGTAAAGTTATATACCTGCAAGTTTAGTAATTCTAGCACTGTAGATTATATAATAAGAGAAAAATGTAAAAAGTCCTTTAACAGGTCATTGGTTCAAATAATATATTTAAAGCACAAATATGACACAGGTAAAATCTGAGAAAGCTCTTCATATATTGATAATGAAAGGTCTCTAAAACATAAATTTTACAAGGCGTTAAACACTAAATACAATATATACCATCTGTTTATGTCAAAGGAGGATGGAGGTAGGGCTATAGTACAATGACAGCAGCAGTAGTTAGCATCAAGAGGCTCAGGTTCAATCCTCAGCATCCCAAAATAAAAATGGGGGAAAGAAAGTTTTAAATGAAGGTGTGAAATCAGAAAATACACAACCAAATACAACAGAAACTTACTTGTAAAGGTAATACTCTGCATGGTCTATTTCTTCTCGAGATGAAATGTTGTCTACAAACTAAAAGAGAAAAAGAATCCCCTGGTTAATACAAATTAGGGCATATACTTGTCCAAGTTCATACACTGCTCTTTAAAAAGGCAGAACATTCATTTTATTGGACACTCATTTGGTATGGCTCCATCCTGACAATCTCTTCATGCTGACTCTAAGAAAGAATATACAATGGCTTCTCTTTACTATGTGCAAGACAATCTTGGACAGAAAAACTGATTAAAAGCCAAATCTAAACTTTGCTCAGAACAAGCAAAAAGCCTCTTCTATTATGTTTACAATTAGCTGTCATCTATTATCTCTAGACCCTTATCTTTTCTCCTAAGCTCCTAAACTCCAACACCGGGGAACACAAAGCTAAGGGGATAAAGACTCTTAATAGCTAAAGAATACTGCTCAGAACATAAAACTCTAATTTAGAGAACTCCCTTTTAGTCATAAACAACAACAAATTTTCCAAGGATGGATTCTACCCGAAAGTAGAGACTTAGAGGCAAAAGAAAAAAAAGTAGGAGATAATACATGTTGTGAATATAATTAAAACCTCATGAAGACAGAGAAGAGAGGAAAAAGAGTGATTTGCTAAAAAGAACCAAGACTTATAGAATGGATTTATAAATGCATAATGTAGTGCAAACACAGGCCCAGAGCTTTCAAACCAGCTCTCTTGAGAGCTTGTTGTGTGGCAGAAGCAGATGGCTCAACCCTCTGGGACTTAGTTGCTCCATCTGCATAAACATGATAAAGGCTCTCTGTCCCCAAAAGTACGGGGCTCCAGTGACAAAATGAACACAAAATATCCTTAAACCTTGAAGTACTATCTAAACTAATATGGACTACAGCCCACAGAAGGTTTTTCCCATCATGAAAGGGATGAAGCAGTGATGCTTCAGTTCTGCTCCAACGTGCCAATTCTGAATGCAAAAACTGTGTGATGACTAATTGAATTGTTTCCTTACTAAAATAAGAATACCAAGAAGAAAAAACTAGACCTCTTCCTATCGTGCTCTAGATTTAATAGTACCATGAATTTTATGATGCTTTTCATGTCTACAAAAAGCCCCCATAAGATCTCATTTTAACACCACAATCTCCCTAAGGAGATACGATTGCCCTCATATTGGAAAGGAGAAAATAGAGAAAGGCCCTGCAACCCACTACCACAGAGTGAATCCATGATCGAGAGAAGACCAAAGGACCTCTGAATGAGACAATAAAAGAAACTAGTCACAAGTATATGGGTTTGAATCCCAAGCTGTGCAACCTTGGAAAATTACTAACCCATTTATAGCTGACATAACTACAACACTTGCACAGCTGCTGTGAGAATTAGCAGAAACAATGTATACTTAAACATACACACACAGTGGCACAGAAGACATTTTAGTAATGGTTAACACCAATTACTTCCTATTCCTTACTCCCAGCCTGATCCTCTTTCACTCTATGCTTGGCAGTAGTTCTTCCATTCTTTTAAAGACTTTCTTAGCTACCAAAACCACTTCCAACACTAATCACCAAATATCTCTAATGGATATACAGTATTAATTTTATATCAAATATGGCACAGTACTAATTTCAGACTAACATTAGCTTTTATTTTAGCCCAAATCAGTTTCTACTATACCATAAAATATCTACTAGATACAAACACATGCCATATTATGGAAAAAATATTTTGTATGAAGACTATCCTTTCTTAACACAGCCTCATCTAAGTCTTTCCTATTTTCTTTAATCTTTTTTGAATACATAATTCTATTTAAATGTTCTTACCCGTGATATTGTTAAAGAGCTAACAGGAAACTTCCTCTCATATGTTTTGTCCATTAAGGATGCAAGATCAGCTGTGAAGACAAGGAGAAAGAATCTTGTTAAAAACACACAATCCTTAGGAAAAACCTAACAGATACAACTTCTGCCAGATGGCTGCTAACATTATAAAGTCTATAATAAAACAGATGCTCATTCTTGCTCTTTTTTAGAAATTGTTTTTATAAAAATTAAAGAGGTGGAATCTTTAACTTCCATTTCCTGCATAGGGAACAGGAAATGTCTCTTCTCCATTTTTCCTCCCCTTCCTCTCTCATTCTCACCCTATGATCAGAAACTGGCATCTGTATCTATCCTCTGAATCCTATTGCTAGAAGGGACAAAAGGTATTTAAAAAACAAGGTGGCTGCATAGTAGCTCATGCCTATAATCCTAGCTACTTATGAGGTGGAGATCTAAGGATCTTGGGTAAGGAGCCAGCCCAGGCCGACAAACTGGAGACTCTAATCTCAAGAAAGGTTAAGTGGAAGTGTGGCTCAAGTGGTAGAGCAGACTGATGAGTAAACAAAAGGAGTTCAAGAGCTGGTACTGGCATGTGTGACAGTATGCATGCATGCATGCACGCGCACACACACGCATGTGCACACGCACGCGTGTGTACACACACACATCACAAACACCAACATCTGCTCCCTTGCCCTTATCTTCTATGTGTCCCCTTTTCTTTGATCCCCTTAAGAGCAACACTGCTTTGAAGAGTTTTGTTCTTATTGTTGTTATTGTTACTGTTTTTTTGGTTTTATAACAGGCTGTAATATAGGCTGGCTTTAGACTCACAATCTGCCTGCCTCTGCTTCCCAAGTGCAGGGGAATGGCAGGTACACCCAGCAAAAAGTCATCTTTGATACAACTGTTAACTGCTTCCTAGTTCCCAGTCTTCAACTCTAACCAAATTTTGGTTTCTGTTACTCCACTAACACCAATGATCACTTCCACACTGGGAAATTGAATAGCTAATTGTCCACCCTCACCTTACTTTTCCCTTCTATTTGTGGGAGACCATTCCATCCTTCAAGAAGCATTTACTGGGCTGGGAAGGTGGCTTAGTGGTAGAGTGCTTGCCTTGCATGCCTGAGGCCCTGGGTTCAATTCCTCAGCACCACATAAGCAGGGAGAAAAAAAAAAAAACGGAAGTGGCGCTGTGGCTCAAGTGGTAGAGCACTAGCCTTGAGCTGAAGAGCTGAGGGACAGCGCCCAGGCCCAGAGTTCAGGCTCCACGACCGACAAAAAAAAAAAAAAGTATTTATTCTATTTCTCTCTTTCTTATTTTTTTTTTTGGGGGGGGGGGGGTTGCTTGTTTTTTCCGGATTCTTCTTTTTGACCTCTAGATGTTGAAATGGACTACATCTTAGTAACAGACTCTTTCCTATACTATCAGTACTCAGTCTCTAGGTAATTTCTCTATGATCATCACTTGAAGACTATTGGCTCCATGTCTCACTGTGACTTAAACCTTTAACTGCGTTTCAATTATATAGTTGTTTTTTCATTTGGGTGACTAGTAGATCTTTAAGGATTATGTGTCCTTTTAGTTCTTCAACCCTCCACTCTAAACCTGCTTTTCCTGTCTTGGTATAAAGGGGATGAGAAACCACTGGAGGTCAAAAAAGAGATATCACCCTAGACTCCATTCTTTTCTATCCTTTAACCAACTGATCAACAACTCCTATAGGTTCTAGAGTATATAAAACAAATATCATCACTACTACCACCAAGCTCCAATCTCTCATCTCCCCGCTTTACTCAATAACCACCTTACACTATAACCTCTACCAGTAGGCTGAGTAAGGCTTTGAAAAGACAAATCAGATCCTGTGATTCTCTTTCCTTAACCAGCTAATAACTTCTATTATACTTAGAATAAAATCCCAGAGTATTTTCTAGAAATGACAAATGCCTACCAAAGTTAGTCTCTTGATTTTTGATTATCCCCCCACCCCCAGCTTATAATAAAAAGTAAAAATTACGCAGACAAGGGCTGAATCCACTAATATATTCTCAGTCCTTAGAACAGTCCCATGAAAAGTACTCAGAGAATATTTAAGAAATGAATAAAAGGAGAAGGGGAAGAAGGAGACACCAAGATCATCAATGAATGTGTTCACAGATAATCTCTTGCTGTGCATTTAGCTATTTTCTTTTCTCTCTTCCCTAGAGTAATAACCACAGTGACTCAGTAGCAAATAGGGAAAATAACTTCCTAAGCCTTTTAAAACCTGACAAAATACAAACATTAATGGTTTTTCTTATAACTACCTTGAAAGGGCTGAAACCAAATGATTAAAGAATATAAAAAAATAATAATGGCCCTAAACTCTTTTAAAGAAGGCAATCAATGTTGTCAAAGCTACTTGCTCAAACTTGATAGCAAACAGCTCTCTCTGTTCCAAGCCTTTATGATCATCTCCTGGTAGATGGAGGCTCTATGCTGTAATGACAGGCAATACTAAAGAATGACTTCCCTTTGCTTAAAATTTATACCTTAAAAGCATTTTGCAAGCCAGGCGCCAGTAGCTCATGCCTGTAATCCTAGCTACTCAGAAGGCTGAGATCTGATGATCACAGTTCAAAGCCAGCCCGGGCAGGAAAGTCCGTGAGACCCTTATCTCCAATAAACCACTAGAAAACCAGAAGTGGCGTTGTGGCTCAAGGGGTAGAGCACTCGCCTTGAGCTGAAGAGCACAGGGATAGCGCCCAAGCCCAGAGTTCAAGCCCCATGACTGACCAAAAAAAAAAAAGCATTTCAGGTGCTAGTGGCTCACACCTATAATCCTGGCTACTCAGAAGGCTGAAATCTAAGGATTGAGGTTTGAAGCCAGCCCAGGGAGGAAAGGCTGTGAAACTCTCATCTCTAATTAACCACCTAAAAACTGGAAGTAAAGTTGTGGCTCAAAATGGAAGCTTTGAGCCAGAAAGCTCATGAGTTTAAGCCCCATGACCACCACCAACAAAAAAAGCAGTGAGGGAGAGGGGAGGGATAACAAAGAGGGGGAATGAGTATTAATTATGGTAAATGTAGCTTACTTCTATGTACAGAAATGGAACAAGGAAACCTGTTGAAATTGATTTGAGAAGTGTGTAGAGCACCAGAGGCTCACATCTAATCCTAGCTACTCAGGAGGCTAAGATCTGAGGATGGCAGTTCAAAGCCAGCTGCATGAAACTTTTATCTCCAATTAACCACCGAAAAGCTAGAAGTGGAGCTGTGTCTCAAGTGGTAGAGCATTAGCCTCAAGCAAAAAGCTCAGGAACAGTAACCTGGCCTTGAGTTCAAGCTGCAGGACCAACATACACACACACACACACGCACGCACGCACGCACAGAAAAGGGAGTAAGATGGAGGTGAATGAGGGGAGATCACTGTACACACACACACACACACACACACACACACACACACACACACACAGAAAAAGGAGTAAGATGGAGGTGAATGAGGGGCGATCACTGTACATGTGTGGAAATGTCACAGTGAAATGTACAAATAATACTAATGCTAATAAAAAGCATTTCAAAAGCAGGCTACTGGCTGAATAAAAAAGGGCTTCCTGGCCCCCTTCCTCGTGGCTTTCACACAGAACATGGTGTCTATCTATAACAAAACACTGGACTGAGGTGTCCTAACTGACCACCTGAGTGTGGCAACCAGAGTCCACCAGAAGCCGTCACATCATGGAATCTTCAGTCAAGTGGAAGTGGCCAGGCCCCAAAAAGACAACAGCTGCAGAGCCAGTATCTGATGAGAAACATTTGCATACTGCAAGTCAGAGAGCAGTTTACTGCTCAGTATCATGTGACCTCACATTATAGCACTGGCGTGATGAATGAGGCGGAAAACAGCACTGCACGGAGCAGGGAGGGCCGGGACAGCTGCAGCCTGCAGAGGGCTGGCACCCCAGGCTTCTGGAGCGTGGGCTTCCACCATCAAAGTCACACTTCATGTTGGCCCAGTGATGGGCCAGCAGATGCCCAAAGGGAGGTGCCAAAAAGATGGTTTCCAGCAGGCCCTGAACACATACTGCAGTTTATGGATGTGAACAAAGGGAAGACGAAACTGCAATAAGAACTCTTCATTGATCAAAATTAAAGGCTGAACAAAGTAGAGTTAAGTTTGAAGATGAAAGGCAGGCTAGTATGAAATGGCTCTAGCTTGACGACCATATTATCACTGATGATACAAGAACACAGAAGATTTTACTGAGGACTGAGCTAGTGTAAGTAATAGAGTGGGATGGAACTTTAAACTGGTGGGCACTTGAACCTCCCTGAGGGACTTTAAAACTTTAGATTCATAGGCCTCGCATCCAGGAGATACTAAATCTGTGGGTTTGAGGTAAACCAGAAACATCCACATTTTTAAGCAACAGCCCTGGTAAACTCTGGTGCAGCCAGTCAAGCACTATCTACTGTTATGTTTGAGAATTATCATGGCAGGAAGAAATACAAAACAGGTTTTTAGGTATTTGCTTCTAAGCTCAACCTCAAACAGGAATCCTATTTCTGGAACAAGCTCAGCTATCCATCCTTTCAAAAATACTTCCCACAATAAAAATAAAACACTAAGATATTAAACATTTCCCCCCAAACAAGTGGCTGAGTTTTCAATTAGACAGAAGTAAGATTGCTAGGAACCAGAGACCACATGAAAGCACAAACTCTGAGGGCTTTAAGAGAATACTGTGTGTGTGCACCAGCACATGGATATGTACATATATGTGTCAGTAGTGGGGACTGAACTTTTGTGTTCTTGTTTGGCGGTTTTTGTTCAAGACTGGTGTTCTACCATTTGAACCACAGCTCCACTTATGGCTTTTTGCTGGTTATGGAGATAAGTCTCATGGATTTGGCTGCCCAGGCTGACTTCAAACTGAGAGCCTCAGACCTCAGCCTCCTGAATAGCTAAGATTACAAGCATGAGTCATTGGTGCCTGTCTTAAGGGAATATTAATGGTGACTGGCATCCTGAGGATATAAAATCAAGATTTGTGTAAAATAAGGTGATTCAGAGATCCT